TGATCACAAATTAAAAAATTAAAATGTATAAATTTGTCAATAAAATTAAAAAATTTTAATCCGCTAATGGTTTAGTACAAAAAGTTATATAAACTAACTTTTTCAATCCACTAACGATTTGGACCTTCACCGCTATCCGTTAGTCTCAAACCACTAAATAAAAATTTTACGAAACACTTTAGTTGTAATAATTTCAAAATATATAAATTTACCAAACACCTATATTTAGCGGTTTATGTAAAACCACTAACCGTTATCCCAAAACCGTTATACTAAACAGGACCTTAACCTATAAAAGATACCACTTTAATTAGGTTTTGATACTATATTTATAATGCTCGCAAACCTGTGCCGGTGTGCAGGGGTTAGAAAATTCCATCTAAGACGAGAAGACGGAGACTTTTGAGTCTTTAGTTCCCTTGTTGGAAAATTCCATCTAGATAAGGGAAGACGGAGAATTTTGAGTCTTTTGGTTCCCTTATTGAAAATTCATCTTTGTTGACACTTGACAATGACTGAATGCCTTTCTTTACTTTTGAGCCTTTAGTTCCCTCGTTGGAAAATTCCATCTAGATAAGGGAAGACGGAGAATTTTGAGTCTTTTGGTTCCCTTGTTGAAAATTCATCTTTGTTGACACTTGACAATGACTGAATACCTTTCTTTCTCCTCCTAATCCCACTCCGAAACTACATCTTGTTCCAAAAAATAAATGACAACTTGTTAATATATAATCATAATTCATAACAATGGTTATATAAAATCTTAAACTTCTATCAACCTATTTTACTTGTAACATTTTTTTAAAAAAGATAATTGAGATTGTTAATTTCAATTTTTAACATAGCACTAAAGTTTTCTTTTTTTATTTTACCTTTATTAATAGTTACTAACTCCACCATGGTTTTGAAATCCGAACTGGTAATATAAATGGTTGGCTCACCAGTTCTCGGTTTAGATGGTCTGACCAGTTTAACTGGCCAGCTGGCCGGTCAAATGAGAAAGGACATAAAATGCAATTCTCAGTTCTCGACTTTTCTGGTATCATTCTGTTGCCGTCTTTTACATTTTTTTCCTTGTAATTTCTAGTCTTATATAACAATTTTCAGTTTAAATTAAACTTAATAAATATATAAATTCATATAATAATATTAAAAACAAGTCCAAAACCAAATATATATGAAAAATAAGTTTTAAAAGCAAGTAAATAGATAAAAAGAAGTGTCATACAACTACAAGTATCAAAATTAACAAGTCTCACACACACACACACATATGAAAAATAAGTTCAAAAACTCAAATCAATATGCAAATGATGCATAAATTAAAATTATTTATTGTTTATCCCTTAGCTGAGGAGGATCTTCATTAAACCAAATCACGTTCACAAAAATCCTTTTTACTATCATAATTATCATCAGTTTCTTCACCAATTAACTCTAAGCCAGTTCCCCCACTTAAACTACCAATATGGAATGATCCTTCTTCACCACCTTGCACTTCTTCATCAATATCATGTGTGCCACCTTAAAAGTTGAAAAACAAAAACATGTAATAAATAAAAATCAACAAAATAACTCATAGAATGACAAAATGACATAATAAATTTAAGGACCATGATTGGTGCACACCCGGATTCAACACCCAGGTGTGCACCCCTTCACATAAAAAAAAAAAAAATGGACCGGGTGTTTTCCATTTTTTTTATGCGAAATGTGCACACCCGGGTGTTGAATCTGAGGTTGCACACATCAGTTTCCTAAATTTAAAATCAAAACACTATAAAGAGAAACTTTGATTAGTTACTAACCTTTTTTTTTTTTTTTAGTTATATGCCATATTCCATTATTTTATCATTATGGATTATATTCTCCAATTCATCATAATCATTCATCATAATCAAAAATTGGAGAATCATCTTCTTCCATAACCCATTCCTCAACATTGTCTATGCTTTCATAATCAATAAAATCAAAGTAAGTCTTCCTTTTGTTATCATTATTATTCAAGATAAAAATAAAATTTCCATAAAAAATATAAGAATATATGAATAATAAGAAATGAAACTTTATGAATATGATACAATTATTATATAGATTAGATAAAGTAATGATGTTTCAAACGCAAATTATAATGCATATGAACAAGATCATTCAACCTTTGTTGCTCCAATTTATTCCTCTTCTTGATATGTATTCTTTCAAATATACTCCAATTTCTTTTACACCCTAAAGAAGATGATATTTGACTCAAGAGTTGTGTTGTTAATTTTTTAAGATTTAGAGCACTATATCCAAAATATTTTTACCACTCATCTATCAATAAGACAAAAAGAAAAAAAGTGTACAAGGGTTAAAAAGTTGAATATCATGAAGAATTAAATAAAAGTGTTATAATCTTTAAAAAAAAAAAAAAGTTGAAATCTTACCAGGTTTCATAGTTTTTGAGGATTCAAGACCACTTTCATGGCCAGAGCTTTCCTCTCTCTTTTTTTTTTTTTTTTTTTTTTTCATACAACTCACACTTATTCAAAAATTTAGACATTCGAGATAGCACTTTTGTATCCACAACATCCATAAAACCTTTCATGACTTCTTTTTGGGTTGAAAATTTCTCTTTATCATAGAAAAAAGCAAGATTTAAGTAATAGGCAATAGCATGAAGATTGTGACGAAGTTGCTTATCCTACCTTTCCTTAATAATTCTTATATAAAGCTTGCGCAAAGTCTCCCTATTTATCAATATAGTCTTAATGGCCTTTCTAGCTCTATATATGCCATCATAGATATATCCAAGTGAAGGCCTCTCATCACCATCCACAATTCTAAGCAAGCAAATAAGTGGTCCCAAGCTCACAATTATTCCAAATTTTTTTATCGAGAACAATAGCCACAACATTATATGCCTTATGATCTTTGTAGTAACTGAACTCTTTTAAATTCCAAACTAGTCACCAATGCTTGAAAATCATGCCTATGCTCATGAACGCTTTTCAATGCAATGAATGTTTTTTCAAAATGTGTTGGCCCAACATGTATAATTTCTATCCATCCTTCCCTTTTTCATAGCCAAGGCACTTCTAATTGATGGCAGAGCTCTATGAGTGATTCTTGGGGTAAAATAATTTTGTATCCCACTTGCCTTTCCTTTTTTGTCCCTATTTGTTGAAATTTCCAACCCTTTTCCTTTAAATTGAAATTGTGGAGCTAAAGAAGGATTTGGGATCTCTTGCAAGTCTGTTGCATCACCATCAAAATGTCCAAATGGATTATCTTCCCATAGATTTTGCGCTTGCTTCCTACTTTCTTCAATTTCTTTCAAACGCTATTGCATCCACCACCTTGTCACACTTTTTGACATCTCCTCCCTTTCTAGCAAGATGTTGTTTGATTCTATTAATGCCTCCTCCTCTAAATGTCTTTTGGTAATGCAAACATTTAATTGATTTTTTTTTTGTACCTTTTATAACTTCAATACAATACTCTCATGCTGCATTTGTTTTAGCTCTTGAAGGTTGAGAAGATGTAGTAGCTGAATTTTGTCCAGATGATAACATTTTTTTACAATTCTACAACAAAATAAAAGAAAATCGTTAAAGCAGCTCAGTTAAAAGAGAATTCAATTTTGAATCCCCTTTCAATTAAAAGAAATAATTCTAAATTTCATATTTCAAAAGTCAAGACCTCTGTTCTGCTATTGTTTAACAACTGATCAAAAGGTTTGAAGGGCTCCCCAAGTGTAAACTAAATTTCTAACTAATCAATATTGATAAAATCTAAAGCAAATGGAGCATCCGATAGGGATAAAACTTGCAAATCAAAATTTTTGAAAATTATTTGATAGTTTTAGTCTAGAATCCAAATATTCAAAATTTACTAAATATTTTCAATTTTGATGAATGAAACAACTTGATAAAAATACACAACATGAACCAAACTGCATCAGTAGCCTCAATTAGATAGTGAAACAAACCCTCTAAAATCTATAGATATTTCAAGTAATTCCTACGAGTACACTACAAACTTTGAAAAAATGAAAATTTACAGCATGGGTCAATGCTAAATAGAGAAATATGATATATTTAGGTGGGGTAAATCAACTTGAAAATTTTTTTATCTCATAATTATAACATGTAGAATACACTGTTTCACTGAAGTAATTAATCAAACACCTAGAAGATGTTTAAAGAGACAAAAAAAAAGCAATTTCTATTTAAGTGGAAAAAGAGATTTCAAGGGCATTGTGCCAATGGATAAGATAGGCAGTAATAAAATTTCACAACAGAATGTTGAGAAATTGAAAGGCAGTGAGCTTATCAGTGAAAAGAAGAAACGATGATGCAAGCAAATTGAGACAGGCATGATTAACTGCTGAGGAGGAAGGAAAAGTGTTGGTTTAGGGTACCTTCTGTTGGCGGAGGTGACGATGGCGGCGGCCCTTGCTGGGGAATGTTATCTACGGCTGCAAAAAATGGGTCGGTCTAGTATCTCAAATTACAGCTGGGTTGCAGAACTCTGCATCCGATCTTCCCATAGCAGTTAGAAGAGATCCTAGAGGTTGCCGTTGTCAGACAATCGCTGCAATTTTGCTGAGACAGATCGGGAGTGCACTGCATGAGTGCGTAAATTCTCAGAAAGAAATCCGGACCCATCACGTTATCTGCCGCATACTTGCGAAGAGAGGCCCCGGTTACCGCATGACTGCTCAAATCAGTCAACATGGAGATCAACGCTTGATTGAACCCATCAACATCCGATGTGCTGTTGATGCATCAAATATGCACTACTCTTAAACAAGTAAATCTAATTGATTATGCAGTATAAAATAAGTAAGATATCGTTCTCTCAAAAACTATTTTATACTACCAAAATAATATTAATCTAACCTAAATTGAATCAACTGATTAATAGAGTAAACCAAACTATTTAAAATAAAACTATTTAAACTAAAGAAATTTTCTAAGTATTCATTATTTAAACTATTTAAACAATTCAAAGTTTCATTATTTTTTATACTTACTAAGTTCCTGCAATTCTACTGCAATTACCTTATGTTTCATCTCTTACTAATAACCTGCCATACCAAAATCTATAATTTTAGAGTTCATATTTGACAAAATGTTCAAATTCACTCTCAAAATATAGTAATAGGATGGATGCACTTCAAACAAAAAAAAGAAATAATCCATCCTTAAAATTTTTGACTTAAACAAATAACCCATTATTTGACCAGCCATGTCAGTTGACATCATCTTCCTATTACTCACAAAATTATTTGAGTTTTAATATGATTTTGAAATTAATTCTGAAATTGGTCGAAGAAAAACCAAAGATTAATTCCAGTTTATTAACAATTTGTATTTAATTAAAATAATTTAAAATATTGGTTTTGTCTTGCAGGGACTTAATTATTACACAGTCTAAAGTGAGGGACCCAAGTGTCAGCCAGTTTGGTTTCGGTTTTTACTAAATAAATATTAATCAAATTTTTTTTATTAATAAATTATATTTTATCTCATATTTTATTATATTTTGTTATATTTATCTAAATTTCGGTTTTCAAAAGGCTTATTTTTGCTTTTTAATTTGTGAAAAGTTCATCCAAAATCAAATTGACATTTATTTAGTTAATATCAAAATCAAAACAATAAAACTCAACCAAATTCATTTTTTCCGTTCAATTTCTGGGTAAGCATCGGGTTACCCACCCGAATGCCCACCCCTTGTCCCGTCGTCTCCAAATTGGTCCCTTCCTCTTTCATCCCATGTGAAGGGATCTTCGTGGAAGCCTTGTCACCAAGCCATTCATCCCCTCAAGTCATGGATCTGAAGCAAGTTGAAGGAATCTAGGGCTTTAGGTGGGTGGCAACTCTAAGGCTAGGCGGACGGTAAATCCAGGGCTAGGAACTATCGGGATTGAACGAAGGCAGTCCGATCACTCCGATTTTGCCTGTAAAAACTCCAACTTTCAAAACCACTCTTTATAACACAAACGTTAAATCTCCAACTTGATCACTCAATTATTGTAAAAGCTCTCAATTTAATCCTTAAATTTAAAAAAATTTTATTTTGGTACCTTAAATAAAGATAACAAATTGTATAATAATACATCATATTTTATAATATCACATGAAGCATTTTCGCTACTCTACCCTACACTGAGGCTTAAAGTTTTTGCCCAAAAAATTGGCCTTAAGCTTAAGGTTTGAAGAGTCCGATTTGTATTTATCATAAACCACCAAACTCTAATATAAAATATAATTGAGTCTTTTTAATAAATTGGGATTCATGTTTTATTGTTTAGACTATATATTAAAAGTGCAATGCAACTTATGAAATTATTAACATGTCTTTTATGAAATAATATAAAAAATAATGTCATTAAGAGTATTTTAGTAATTTCATAAATCAAATTACATGTTAAGTGTATTCCTAGTCCAACCCGTGAAATAATTTCTTCTAATAAATTTAGTGATTTCTTAACCTGTGACTTAAGGTAAAGGTTAAGTTTTATTAATTGTGATATTTGTAAGTAATTATTTCAAAGAATGACTAATAATCTTGGAAAGTTATTATTATTGATAGAGTATTCAATGAAACTTGAGTGCTGGTTGTCAAGTGCCATTGCAAGGCTACCAGGCATTACAAATGTAAGAGACAGAATTAAGAGGAAATATTTAAAGAAAGTTTTATTACTTTTTTTCATATTCATTGTATATACAAAAGTTTTATATATAGATTTATATAATAAAATATTCTTAAGTATAACATTAACTAACTTAAATATATATAATAAATTACAATGTAAATATAATATTTTAATATAAATATTAATATTTTAAAATAAATACTAATATTTTAAAATAAATACTAATATTCTAACGTCTTCTGTAAACTCAATGCGGTGATAAAGAAGTCAACTTGAGTTTCAAAAGAAGAGTATGAAAGCATTTAAAGAAGTGAGTCCTGGTGAATAAATTTGTAAACTGATTAGCAGAACTAATGAAAAATAAATGAACAATTTCTTTTCCAATATAATGACAAACAAAGTAATAATCGATCTTGGTATGTTTTGTGTGTTTATAGAAGATATCATTGTGAGTAATCTGTGTAACATTTTAATTATCACAATATAAATTAATATAAATTAATAAAAGAAGTTCGAGGAATATGTATCTTTAAGAAGCCACCCTAACACCGAGGAAGTAGATAGCTACAATTTCTGACTTAGCATTTTATAGTTACCTTACGATGATGATGATGATGGCATTTTGTTTTGTGTAATTTTTTGTTTAAATTTTTTTTTTTTTATTTGAAATTTGTTTCGAGACCACACGCCATGTTGGCACACAACGTGGCAATTCCACTAAGGTGGCCAATTATAAAAGGAAAATAAACAAATTACAAACTACTAATATTAAACATGTTGGCACTGCAGTTTTAACTGTCTTGATTTAAATGCATTAAACTTTTGATATTTGTTAAAATTTCATCTGTTGTAATAGCAACCTAATTATCCTTATTTCCTCACATTTCCCCATGTTCAAAAAATATTAAACATGTTGGATGATGATATAAGAATAATTTTTTTATATTATTTTTTGATATAATTTTTACAAATTATTAAATAAATTAATACATTTAATATCATGAATTTTAAATAAATAAAAAAATCAATCATTATTTAAATGATACATAAAATTATACTAAAAAATAAAAAAAAAAT